GGCCGAGGCGGGCGGATCACAAGGTCAAGAGATCGAGACCATCCTAGCCAACATGGTGAAACCCCGTTTCTACTAAAAATACAAAAATGAGCTGGGTGTGGTGGCGCGCACCTGTAGTCCCAGCTACTTGGGAGGCTGAGGCAGGAGAATCGCTTGAACCAGGGAGTCGGAGGTTGCAGTGAGCCGAGATGGCGCCACTGCATTCCAGCCTGGTGACAGAGCAAGACTCCATCTCAAAAAAAAGAAAAAGAGAGAGAAAGCTAGTAAGGGATCAAGGGATTTTTTTCTTTTTATTTTTTTGAGACGGAATTTTGCTCTTGTCTCCCAGGCTGGAGTGCGATGTTGCTGTCTCGGCTCACCGCAACCTCCACCTCCCAGGTTCAAGCGATTCTTCTGCCTCAGCTTCCCAGCAGCTGGGATTACAGGCGCCCTCCATCATGCCTGGCTGATTTTTGTATGTTCAGCAGAGATGGGGTTTCTCCATGTTGACCAGGTTTGTCTTGAACTCCTAACCTCAAGTGATCCACCTGCTTTGGGCTCCCAAAGTGCTGAGATTACAGGCCTGAGCCACTGTGCCAGGCCAGGATCAATGGACTTGAATTCCCTCTTCTGTTCTTTGAATGCAGACTTACTATATGATATGCTACGTTGTCATCTTCCCTCATTCCTTTCATAATAGAAAAACTATCTTTTGGTGTCACTAGATGTGAAGATTCAAGCAAAGCATTTCATGTAGTAATCTTATTTAACCATTACAATAACCCTGTGAGATAGGCATACTATTCACATTAGAGATGTAAAAACTTGATTAAACACTTAACCCAGAGATGACTACTAGTAATTTGCAGAATAATGATTTGAATGCAGGCTAATTTTATTTATTTATTTATTGTATTTATTGAGATGGAGTCTCGCTCTGTGGCACAGGCTGGAGCGTAGTGGCACAGTCTCAGCTCACTGCAACCTTCGCTTCCTGGGTTCAAGCGATTCTCCTGCCTCAGCTTCCTGAGTAGCTGGGATTACAGCTGCGCACCTCCATGCCCAGCTAATTTTTATCTTTTTAGTAGAGACAAGGGGTTTCACCATGTTGCCCAGACTGGTCTCAAGCTCCTAACCTCAAGTGATCCACCTGCCTCAACCTCCCAAAGTGCTGGGATTACAAGCATGAGCCACCACGCCCGACCTGAATGCAGGCCAATTTTTTTTTTTTTTTTTTTTTTGAGACGGAGTCTCGCGCTGTCGCCCAGGCTGGAGTGCAGTGGCGCAATCTCAGCTCACTGCAAGCTCCGCCTCCCGGGTTCCCGCCATTCTCCTGCCTCAGCCTCCCGAGTAGCTGGGACTACAGGCGCCCGCCACCTCGTCCGGCTAGATTTTTGTATTTTTTAGTAGAGACGGGGTTTCACCGTGTTAGCCAGGATGGTCTCGATCTCCTGACCTCGTGATCCGCCCATCTCGGCCTCCCAAAGTGCTGGGATTACAGGCTTGAGCCACCACGCCCGGCCATGCAGGCCAATTTTTATTCAGAGTCTGTTCTGACATCCTAGCAGTTCTGCCTCTCCCAGTCTGCATTTTATGTAGTCAAGGTTGCACTGGATGTGGTCCTTGTTGCTTTTAGTCCTAAAATCTTATAAGTGATTATACGCTTGTGACACTGAACAGTGCCTTCATTAGCACATTCAGTTCCTCTTGTCCACCCAAGCTCCAGGGTCATACTTTCTACCATCCAATACTGGAGAATCAACGTGGCATTCCTGACTCTCCTAGAGTCCTAGGAAAGACTTAAAGTAGTTTTATTGAACATTTATCTCTTTTGGCAAAATTGTATCAGAGAGTTTTTTTGACAAAATAGTTCTCCAAACCATGCTGAAAAGGTACACTTTAGAGTTCCAAGGCCAGGTGCAGTGGCTTATGCCTGTAATCCTAGCACTTTGGGAGACTGAGGGGAAGGATCGCCTGAGCCCGTGAGTTCAAGACCAGGCTGGCCAACATAGGGAGACCTCTCTCTACAAAAAAATCCAAAAATTAGCTGGGTGCAGTGGTACACGCCTGTGGCCCTAGCTATTCAGGAGGCTGAGGTGGGAGGATTGCTTGAGCCCAAGAGTTAGAAGCTGCAGTGAGTTACGCTCCAGCCACTGCACTCAGCCTTGGTGACTACTCTGTTTCAAAAAAAAAGACCCTGTTTCACCAAAAAAAAAAAAAAGTTCTACATTCATCACAAAACACTCATTTGCATTTGTCTTTTGTCCTTTGAGCCTTATTTTTTTTTAAAGACAGGGTCTCACTGTATTACCCAGGCTGGCCTTGACCTGGGCTCAAACATCACACCCAGCTACTTTATTTACTCTCAAATACTCTCCTATCCAACTGGCTACTTTCTTTTTTTTCTTTTTCTTTTTTTGAGATAAGGTCTCTGTCACCCAGGCTGGAGTACAGTAGTTTGATCTCGGCTCTGCACTCCCATCTCAGCCTCTCAAGTAGCTGGGACTACAGGCGTACAACACCATGCCTGGCTAACTGGCTACTTTTTATTTCCATAGACTTTATGGCACTAGGCCTTGTAGAAAAATATTAAGGTGTTAGTGTGTGGTGTGCTTTTTGAAAAAATGCTCACCAAGGTTAGAAAAACACTGGTGGTTTATTGGCAAAATCAATCTGTCAGCAGTTGATTCTTTTTTTTTTCTCTGAATTAGCCCTCTTAGAAGTAATCTGTTTGCTCATTCATTATAATTTCATACCTCTAAAACTGTGTGTGACAGCTGTAAAGGTTAATTCCAGTATCATGAAACGTCTCCAGACTGAAGCAGAAGTGCATCAAGATCCTGATTTGTGTGTTTTTTTCTTCACTCTCGGTTTCCCTTTTATGCTTACTATTCATGCCCCTCACTGGAAAGTCACTTGGCCTCCTGAACAGCACTAACTCCAAACTTTACGTTTTTTTTGGCAGAGATGCAGAGGATGCTATTTATGGAAGAAATGGTTATGATTATGGCCAATGTCGGCTTCGTGTGGAGTTCCCCAGGACTTATGGAGGTCGGGGTGGGTGGCCCCGTGGTGGGAGGAATGGGCCTCCTACAAGAAGATCTGATTTCCGAGTTCTTGTTTCAGGTATGTTCCTTTCAAACAGAATAAGATGATACATGTAAAATACTACTTAACACAGAGTCTATCTTCCAAGAAATGATAACTGTTATTCTTCAGTGCATGGGACACTGGGGCTTTCTTTTCAATAGCCTGTATGCAGTGCCAGTCTGAAGCCCTGCCCTGGATTGCCAATGAGGCAAGTATCCTGCAAATGAAATTGCGCCTGGGAGTGCAGCCTTGGAAGAACATAAACATACTTCTTGTAAAGGAATTTTCTAGTGGTGAGAAGGGAAGATAATGGGAAAACCCCTTGAGCTACAATTCTAAAGACTCTTCTTTTGGAATATACTTGGCATCAGACATGGTAGAAAGGCATTCCAGGAGCCAGATTTGAACAACTTACCCAGCCTCAGATCTTGAAGAAGATCAGATTTTGTGGTGGTTTTAGAATTAAATATTTTTTAAAACCCCGTAAGTTGGAGTCTTAGAGATTTTATTGGAAAGTATAGACTATTTCTGTCTAGTGTTTATAAGTGATGAAATGCTAAACTGGGAGGTTTATCTGTCTTCAAAATATTAACACACTGGAAAGACCTAGGGCCTTCTGCATATTGCATGGGAGTTTTAGGGCCCTGGTGGAATGAAGTATATCGAGGAGCGTGGCACCTTTTTAAGATGTGAATGTCACACAATCACAGCATACTCCTATGTGCTTAAATAGTGATACTTTCAGTATCTGCCTACCTTGTGTCCCTTTGTAATTTTTTAACCCCAGAACTCTATTCCCTCCTTCAGGATGTCATACATTATCTTTTTTTCTCTCCATGCTGCTCTGAAATCCTGCTTAGAAAACTATTAGGAAATGGCTGCAGTCCTGAGCTGTGAGCGGTAAACACAGCCTTTGAGAGCAGGAGCACATTTCCCTTTCATGACATCAGGTAGGGTTGTATGACTCCCGACTAGTTTTAGCATCTGAGTCTTACCTTCCCCCCTACTGTATTGAAGAATGTTGGTGATCTTTTAAGAGGTACTCTGTATAGTTCGTCATTCACACCTATAAGAAAACAAACTAGATTTTTTGTTGTTGTATTGTTACCTTCAGCTACTCTTTGGTTATTTCATTATCTGGTTTCAAAATTCCCATGTCCTTTGAAACCCTGTCAAGCAATAAATAATTGGTACTGTTAATTTCATAATGGAAAAAGTTGGAACTCAAAGTATTAGGAGTTTGGCATTGATTTTAAAGGACAAAGAAAGAGGCTATGAACTCTCAGAGATACTATACCTGTAATGGGATGGACTTCTTGCTCTATTGAAAAGGTCTGGTCTCTGGAAGATGGGCTTAAAACCAGTTTCTCAAGGTGGTTTATTTACCACATGTACTTCAGTGCTCTTTTCTGATTTCATGTCCCTTATCAAGGTTTATGATTTGGGGACCCTCAGGATTTAAGTGATCATGGAGAAGGGACCGTAGGTATTGCTGGCTCTTAACAGGGCAGTTAACATAGCTGAAGGATGTGGGCTTTCTTATGTTCTCCATGCCTAGGACTTCCTCCATCAGGCAGCTGGCAGGACCTGAAGGATCACATGCGAGAAGCTGGGGATGTCTGTTATGCTGATGTGCAGAAGGATGGAGTGGGGATGGTCGAGTATCTCAGAAAAGAAGATATGGAATATGCCCTGCGTAAACTGGATGACACCAAATTCCGCTCTCATGAGGTGGGTCCTTGCCTTCTGTTGAGGAGCTTGTACTCAAATCACTCCACTTGAACCTGACCTAGCAGAGGTAGCAAGAGGCCATGCCATTTGGTAACCTCACAGTACCATAAGAGATCTATCTTAGGTGGACAAAGCCATGGAATTTGCTATGCCTAAGTCCTTCAGGGTCATAGCTGAGAGAAGTATGCATTCATAGTATGTTTGTTTTTTAATATGCTTTATTCTGCGTATTAGTATCACATAACACAGTTTGGTCATGGTATTTGTAACCTGGAGAGAATACTAGTGCAGTTGGTCTTGATATCACCCCATTCACAACCAGGTTAAATGGCAGTATCCCTCTGTGAATTCAGCTGCCCCTTCTGTGGATCTAGGCTGAGCTCTATAGGCCAGCCTCTTCATCTCAGCCCTTCTAGGTCCTGCTGTCAGGGCTGAGCTGTCACTTCACTTTTTTCCCAGAGTAGTGCAGGATCCTCTCTGAAACCTGAGCTATTGTGACATTTTCTTTTTTAATTTTATAATTTTTATATTTCTCTAATTTTTGATTTTAGAGACAGAGTCTCATTATATTACCCAGGCTGACCTTGAACTCCTGGGCCCATGCAGCCCTCCCACCTCAGCCTCTCCAGTAGTTGGGACTGCAGGCATGCACCACTGTGCCAGGCTAAACCGTGACATTTTCTTGTGGTTAATTATCTCACCCTTGAGACTCAGTAGTTCTTGATGTCCTTCCTTGTAGGAAAGCAGCTGCTGTTTTGGATCTCAGTTTGACTGAAGTGGTGACTATCCCTTTGGTACCACTGAGACCAGAAACCAGACCACCAATTGGACATTTTTTCTGGTTATTCTGTCCTGCCTTACTATGAGATTTACAGATGTTTGGAGACACAGGTCTCTGGGCTCATTGCTTTTTCTGAGGATTCATATAATTCCCTAGTTTTTGGCTTAGAGGTTGGTCCTTCCATAGTTTAATGATGCTTTTGTTCAGACTGTCCTCTAGGACTTGAATTTGGAGCAGAAACAGAACAGCATTTGATCCTCAGTTATACTGCAAAGCAGGGCTTCAGAAAGGGTAACTCCAATTATTGACGTTCACCTAAGGTGAAAAAGCATCCGGGTTCTTTCCCCTTGGCATCTTAGGATCTTCCGAGAATGCTGGCTGAAGGCAGAGGGCCTGGGGACAAGTCAGCCTGGACATGACTCCTTTGCTGCTTATTAATTCCTTACCTTAACTACTCTTGGAACCTTGATTCCTTCATGGGCAAAATGGTCACATAATAGCACCTTCACAAGCCCTGTCAGGAATCTAGAGCAAGAGGATAACATCTAAAGCATCTAGCTCAGGTCCTCACATCTGGAAGGTATTAAATACAGGTTAGCTCCTTCCATAGATGCCCATCCAAAGATGCATATATTAGGTGGCAGGGGATTAAACTATATGACCCCTGAGATCCTTTCCAGTTCTTAGCTTTAAAGGGGGTCAATGGCAGTAATTCAGATATATTGTTTATAATAGTTAATTGAGTATCAACATGTCAAATTGGCATTTATTGTGTTACCTTGGGCAAATGATATAATTTAAGTCTTAATTTTCTTCATTCTTGAAGTGGGATAGTAAGAGTACCTACCTCATAATGTTATGAGGGTTTAATGAGATAGCCTAATGCCAGGTACAGAGTACACAGTAAGTGCTCAATATTTAACTATTATTGTTAGATGTTGGTTTGCTTATTCTTCTGGCTCTGATTTTTTTCCCCATTACTCTTTTCGGTTTTGTTTGCATTTCAGGGTGAAACTTCCTACATCCGAGTTTATCCTGAGAGAAGCACCAGCTATGGCTACTCACGGTCTCGGTCTGGGTCAAGGGGCCGTGACTCTCCATACCAAAGCAGGGGTTCCCCACACTACTTCTCTCCTTTCAGGCCCTACTGAGACAGGTGATGGGAATTTTTTCTTTATTTTTTAGGTTAACTGAGCTGCTTTGTGCTCAGAATCTACATTCCAGATTGAGGATTTAGTGTCTTAGGAAATTTTTTTAATTTTTTTTTTTTTAAAGAAGAAAAAAAAAACTACATAATTTCTACCAGGGCCATATTAGCAGTGAAACATTTTAAACTGCAGAAATTGTGGTTTTGGTTCAGAAACAAGTTGTATATTTTTCACCCCTGATTATGGGAAAAAAATCAGTTCTGTCTTTGTGGGTTGCTCTACTATGGAGATCAACAGTTACTGTGACTGAGTCGGCCCATTCTGTTTAGAAATATATTTTAAACGTTTAGTAATTGACATGTGTGGTTGTCCTTGATTAAGTACACAGATTTCACAAAATAGGCACACTAATTTTAAAAATCACTGAGTTGTAATCATAACTTGTACCCAGTTAGTAAGGAGCAGGGGTAGATAACTTTATTTATATGGGGATAGATAGTTGCTGATATTGGTTTGAGAATGTAAACTCTAAGAGTGGGTTCTGGGTTCTCTTTTAATTCAAGGCCAAGCTTGTAAATTAGGCTGCCTTAAAGAAGAAAAAAGCATTGCAGATAAAGGAAGGGAATGGGAAAAATAAACACACGGTGGCTTATGCTTGTGATCCCAGCACTTTGGGAGGCCAAAGCATGCCAGAGGATCCCTTGAGGCCAGGAGTTCAAGACCAGATAGGCAACATAGCAAGACTCCATCTCTACTTAAACAATTAACTGGACGTGGTGATGCACATACGTAGTCCCAGTTACTTAGGAGGCTGAGGTGGGAGGATCACTTGAGCCCAGGAGGCTGCAAGTTATCTGTGGTCACACCACTGCACTCCAGCCTGGGTGACAGAGTGAGGCCCTGTCTCAGAAAACTAAAAAAATGACAAGCAACGTAAATACTATTGGCAAATTCTTAGCCAAAACCAATTTTGGCAGTTTGGTTAGAGGAAATACTCTCTGATTCTATCACTTTTATCCCTAAATAAGTTTCATTTATCCTTGGTATCCTGAGTTTTATCTTGGACTTATCTCAATTTAATAATCATTTTGGGGGTGGAGAGGGCTCCTTTTTCCCAGACCCAGGGCTGATTTTAGGATAAGTTCTCTTTTCAGAAAGAAACACTACGTATGACTAGTATCCCTTTGGCATATAATCACTTTGTGGGATGGCAGATAGTTCTAGATTAGGAGTTCCCAAGCTCTAGTCTACTTTGAACACTTCAGACCTTAGTAGGAAGTTAGCCCTTTTCTAGGAAGAGAGTGGAAGCCCAAGAACAAATTCAGGTATGTTCGGTAAAAATAGGGCTGCTCAAATCACTGCAGATAGGCAACTAAAAATGACAGCCAGGGTTGTCATATAGTGATCAAGATGCTCCATCTACCAGTTATGTAGATAGAAGACATTTTCATGCAGTTGGAACAGTCCTTTGCGGGGAGTTAAAGGCAGATAAATAATGTCTTCCATACTGAACAGGCTTGTTAAGTGAATTCCCTGGAAGCTGACTTTTGCTTTTCCTTTCACCTCAGTTAGCATCAGGAACTCATTTTTGGGGCCCGATGTTTCCCAGTTGTGTCTTCAGAAGAATCTGTTAAGAAATGCTTGAGCATCCATTTTTTCAGGTGACTGAAAAAAGCAGGAACATTAGTGTTCACAGTAAGAAAATACTGTCATTGTGCTTCCACATGGTCACAGAGTACCCGCTTTCCAGAATGAGCTACTCAGCTGTGTGGGAATGGCTCTTGTTCATCCAGCTTTGGCAAAGAGATATTACCTGTTTGAAAATAACAAAAGAGAATGTGATAGCTGAGCCTGCCGCCTAGCTGGCTCTACTGAGCTAACTGATCACTTAGTTTCTCATGGAAAATACGGAAGTAAATATAGCTACTACCCTGTTTTCCTAACTCGGAGTATCTGAAAGAATCAGTTCTAAGTGAAGCCAAATTCACCTTTTTCAGTAAGGAGTAGACAGGTTGATTAGCCACTAATATGCAGATAGGAGTAGAAGGAAAGACTGACCATGACCATGAACTCAGGTGGTCCCAAGAAGTCTGAAGTAAGGTTCTGTGTGGGAGACAGCATGTCTGATCAATAGATATGTCTGCTGAAGCCACACTATCAGGCTCTGAGATGGAGAGTCTCCTTTCTCTCCACAGTTAACAGGTGATTTAGTGGATTGGAGGCATGATAAAAGTAGCTCATGGCCAGGCACGGTGGCTCACACCTGTAATCCCAGCACTTTGAGAGGCCGAGGCGGGCAGCTCACGGGGTCAGGAGATCGAGACCATCCTGGCTAATACGGTGAAACCCCATCTCTACTAAAAATACGAAAAATTAGCTGGGTGTGGTGGTGGGCGCCTGTAGTCCCAGCTACTCGGGAGGCTGAGGCAGGAGAATGACATGAACCTGGGAGGCGGAGCTTGCAGTGAGCCAAGATCACACCACTGCACTCCAGCCTGGGCAACAGAGCGAAACTCCGTCTCAAAAAAAAAAAAAAAAAGTTTAGCTCACACATTTTCTAGCTGCCTTTCCCATCCTTACTTCAACCAGAGCCTGCCTTTAACTGGCACCTTGAGTTGACCAGGGCCAATGTCTTATGTGGAGTCTGCTCAGAATGATTCTCCCTCAGGGGATATGCTGAACTGGAAGTTGGCACTTAGCAGTCTACCTGACTGCTTTTGGCTAGTCCCACTCCCAAAGGCCCAGAGGGGTAGTACAACTGCAGTACTCACTTACCTGCAGAGGAGATAAAAACAGTCAACCTATCCAAGGTTCTGGATTTTACTGTCAGCCCACAGTAATTTTAAAGCTTCTATTTAAAATATTTACAGTAGGTAGATGATGCAAATCTCTACACCAGCAGTTGTAAACTGATGGCTCACAGACTGCACCTGGCTTGCAGGTGTGTTTTATTTGGCTTGGACGGTGAATTTGGCTTGAATTGGTTGCCAGCGCTTAAAATTTAAGAAATATCAGTGGGATGCAGTCGCTCACCCCTGTAATCCCAGCACTTTGGGAGGCTGAGGCGGGTGGATCACGAGGTCAAGAGTTCAAGACTAGCCTGGCCAAGATGGCAAAATCTCGTCTCTACTAAAAATACAAAAAAATTAGCCAGGCATGGTGGCAGGCACTTGTAATCCCAGCTACCAGGCAGGCTGAGGCAGAGAATTGCTTGAACCTGGGAGGCAAAGGTTGCAGTGAGCCAAGATTGCACTAAAGCCTGGGCGACCAAGCGAGACTCTGTCTCATAAAAAAAAAAGAAAAGAAATATCACACAAAATGCCAGGTATCCAGGTTCTCTGGAGAAATGGGTTTACATTCCTGCCTGGCACCACTGATAGGATAGCAGCCATGCTCCTCCTGCTTTGAGTGGGCACAGACTGAGTGCAGACCCTAATGGCATTTGAATCATGTCATAGAGGGGCAAAGATATGACAGAAACATCTGGGCTAAGGCCGCACAAAAGATTCCTTTTGGGAGGCTGAGGTGGGTGGATCACCTGAGGTCGGGAGATCGAGATAATCCTGGCTAACATGGTGAACCCTGCCTCTACTACAAATACAAAAAGTTAGCCAGGCGTGGTGGTGCATGCCTGTAATCCCAGCTACTCGGGAGCCTGAGGCAGGAGAATCGCTTGAACCCGGGAGGCGGAGGTTGTGGTGAGCCGAGATTGTACCATTGCACTCCAGCCTGGACAACAAGAGCGAAATTCCATCTCAAAAAGAAAAAGGATTCTTTTAGGAAAGGACTGGTTATTTTGTGGCACCCAGCCCAAAGCTAGACCTAACAAATATTTATTCATGGTATGAATACTAGAAAGTTGGAGCTGGCCGGGCGCGGTGGCTCAAGCCTGTAATCCCAGCACTTTGGGAGGCCGAGGCGGGCGGATCACGAGGTCAGGAAATCGAGACCATCCTGGCTAACACGGTGAAACCCCGTCTCTATTAAGAAATACAAAAAACTAGCCGGGCGAGGTGGCGGGCGCCTGTAGTCCCAGCTACTCGGGAGGCTGAGGCCGGAGAATAGCGTGAACCCGGGAGGCGGAGCTTGCAGTGAGCTGAGATCCGGCCACAGCACTCCAGCCTGGGCGACAGAGCGAGACTCTGTCTCAAAAAAAAAAAAAAAAAAAAGAAAGTTGGAGCCGATTACAGGATCTGGCATGGTCTTAACTGTGGCTTTGAGAAACACAGAATGTCAGCTGCCCCTTTAGGCAGATCTTGAGCTCCAGATTTCCATCCACTCTAAACCTTTACCCCACTTCCCCCCAATCCTGTTTTGCTTATTCCTGTTACTACCTGCCCCCTAAAGGTATGACCCTGGACCCTACCGCCACCTTAATGTCACCATCTGTATGCACTTTATCCTTTTCAAAGTGCCTTCACATAGCATCTTTGGTCCTCATGCTTCCTGCTTCATTCCTAAGGTCACTGTGAGACTATCTGTTAAACCACTCTGGGCAACACCTACCTGGGGGGGCCACAAAATACTCCTCCACGACTCGATGGGAGTTTTGTAGTAATTCATCAGCACAATTGCCTTCTACCACATTGTCGGATCTCAGGTATAGACATCTACAAAACCCAGAAGCTCAAGGTTACCCTCTCAGAGAAGGGGGCTTTTAGGGGATGGTGGAAGGGGCAAGAAGGAGAGAACAAGGAAGCGGTATATTCTTGAGTTAATGGGCACTGTTCAAAGATAGAGAAGCTGGGATCAACAGTAGACCAAATAACAGCCTACAGTTTATAGATTGTCCCAACAACCCTGAGAAGTAAGTGCTAATCACTTCTCTGGATTGATTTAACAAATAGTTTTTGATGATTATATGGGCAACTGTCTTTTGGTGGGGACAGGTAAAAGCAATTATAAAATAATATTTTAAATCTGACAGAAGTTAGCACAGCCTGCCAAAGGATAGAAAGGGTACCTAGTCTAGCCTGGGTGAGTAGCACATCCTCAGAATAGCTGGATTGGGGGATGAAGGTATGAGAAATGGACTTCTTGGCAGGTATAGCAGCATGAATCCCAAAGCAAGAGAACCCAGAGCTCAGAGATTCGGAGAAGGACAGGGAGTTCAGCAGGCTGGGGTGTGGTCTGCTGGGGTGGAAGATGAAGCTAGAAACCTAAGCAGAGATGGGGAAGCAAACTTGCCTCAAGAGTGACTTAAGGATGTTGGCTCCTAAGTAACAGACCTGGGATCTGAGCCCAATCTGGTACCCGTAAGATGAATGCTTTTTCCACCACAGCCCCTTTGGTGGATGGGTGCAGCTGCCCTTGAGCAGAATGTGTCACAAACAGCTCAAGAATCTCCCAGTGTTCTATGGGACCTAGTGAGTTTACAAAAGCCTTCAGATAGCAAACTGGTAAACACACAGGAGCTTGAACATATGCATCAGGCTTCACTATTGTTTCAAGGTGTAAAAGTGTGTAAACCTGCTTCCAGATACTTGGACTAAAAAAACAAGCAGTTTGTTATATCACTGATACAGTATTCAGTAGTAGCTATGCTCCTGCTTTGAGTGGGCACAGACTGAGGGCAGACCCTAATGGCATTTGAGTCATGTCGTAGAGGGACAAAGATGTGACAGGAACATCTGGGCTAAGGCTACACCTAAAAACTAAGTTGTCGGCCGGGCACGGTGTCTCACGCCTGTAATCCCAGCACTTTGGGAGGCCAAGGCGGGCGGATCACGAGGTCAGGAGATCGAGACCATCCTGGCTAACATGGTGAAGCCCCGTCTCTACTAAAAAATACAAAAAAATTAGCCAGGTCTGGTGTCAGGCGCCTGTAGTCCTAGCTACTGGGGAGGCTGAGGCAGGAGAATGGCGTGAACCCGGGAGGCGAAGCTTGCAGTGAGTCAAGATCGCGCCACTGCACCACTCCAGCCTGGGCAACAGAGCAAGCCTCTGCCTCAAAAAAAAAAAAAAAACTAAGTTGTCACAATAAGATTATTTTAGGAAAGGACTAGTTCTTTTTTTGTGTGGCACCCAGCCCAAAGCTAGACACAACAAGTATTTATTCATGGTATGAATACTAGAAAGTTGAAGTCTGTTATACGACCTGGCATGAGGGACAAAGATGTGACAGGAACATCTGGGCTAAGGCTGCACATAAGAACTAAGTTGTCAGCTGGACGCAGTGTCTCAGGCCTGTAATCCCAGCACTTTGGGAGGCTGAGGCGGGCGGTTCAAGGCCACTGTGTAGCCTTGAACAAGTATGATCTTTTCAGACATTAAATTTTTTGGGCGGCAGGCGGGAGAAAAAAAGAGGCCGGGTGCGGTGGCTCCCACATGTAATCCCAGCACTGTGGGAGGCTGAGGTGGGTGGATCACCTGAGTTCAGGAGTTCAAGACCAGTCTGGGCAACACGGGGAAACCTCGTCCCTACTAAAAATACAAAAATTAGCCAGGCGTGCTGGCACGCACGTGTAATCCCAGCTACTCGGGAGGCTGAGGCAGAAGAATTGCCTGAACCCAGGAGGCGGAGGTTGCAGTGAGCCGAGATGGTGCCACTGCACTGCAGCCTGGGTGACAGAGCAAGAAGGAAAAAAAAAACTCCAGGCACAGTGGCTCAAGCCTGTAATCCCAGCACTTTGGGAGGCCAAAGCGGGTGGATCACCTGAGGTCAGGAGTTTGAGACCATCCAATACGGTGAAACCCTGTCTCTACTAAAAATACAAAAGTTAATCGGGCATGGTAGTGCATACCTGTAATCCCAGCTACCCGAGAGACTGAGGCACAAGAATCACTTGAATGTGGGAAGCAGAGTTTGTAGTGAGCGGAGATTGCACCATTGCACTCCAACCTGGGTGACAGAGTGAGACAGTGTCTCTCTCACACACACGAGAGTTGCACTAGATTTTTTTTTTTTTTGGTAATAACACAAGGACTGTGTATTTAAGAAAACTTGGGAGAACAAAAGTAAAATCAAAATCATAATTATACCATTCAAAGGCAACCCTTGGACTTTCTGGAGTTTATAGTTTCTGTTGGACAGTATTAAAAAATGGCTAAGAGGCCGGGCGCAGTGGCTCATGCCTGTAATCCCAGCACTTTGGGAGGCCGAGACGGGCAGATCACGAGGTCAGGAGATCGAGACCATCCTGGCTAACAGGGTGAAGCCCCATCTCTACTAAAAACACACACAAAAATATTAGCCAGGCGTGGTGGCGGGTACCTGTAGCGAGAGGCTGAGGCGGGAGAACGGTGTGAACCCTGGAGGTGGAGCTTGCAGTGAGCGGAGATCACGCCACTGCACTCCAGCCTGGGTGACAGAGCGAGACTCCGTCTTAAAAAAAAAAAAAAAAAAAAAGGCTAAGAGCTTAGTCTCTCGAGTCACAGCTGAATTCAGATCCCAATGCTACACATTACTTATCCTCTCTCTCAGTTTCCTTGTTTGTTGAATGCTTCATAGGATTTCTGGGAAGATTAAATGAAATGTTAAAAAACAAGATCTGCTAATGCTGAGCCTGCATTCACGGTAGTAAGAGAGGGGTCTGAGTAGCACCTGCTCCTTTGAGAAAGCCTTAGTGCACCCCGTACATCTCAGTCCCTACCACTCAGTGCACTCGTGATCAGGCATAACCTGCCTAACATTTGAAGGTTTGGGGAAGACTCTTGACTACCACCAACAGGCGGTTAAATGCTACTGCTTCCCCAAGAGTAGATCTAATAGCAGCTAATTTATTTACTCATCATCAAGTAATCAATTTGGTAATTAAGTTTCCTGCATAAGTGAAATTTCCAGGAAAACAAAAGTCACCCCTTTACATACCACACATTTCTATTTAGTTACTGGTTATGATGGAATTGTTCCTAAAATAGACACATTTTCTGGGGTTGGTTGTTTTTTTTTTTTACCTTTTTTTTTTGTTTTTGAGACAGGGTCTTGCTGTGTTGCCTAGGCTGGTCTCAAACTTCTGGGCTCAAGTGGTCCTCCTGCCTTAGCTTCCCAAGTAGCTGGGATTACAGGTATATACTACGATGCCTAGCTTTATTTTCTTAATTACAGGCTCCTGAACCCACAGTCTCTGTGACAGTGGTACAGCAAGCATACCTCTCACTTGGCGAGTTGCTGCACTTTCTTGAACCTCAGAATTGTATAAAACACTGAACAGGACCAGATGAGCTTTTCAGATCAATTACTGATTGACTAAACTTCTACCTCACCTCCTGTCTTTCCCAATCAGGTTCTGTAAGATAAGTTAGCCCACATACCCCAAGACACCCATTCTGATGATAAATTAACTTCTATGTGTTTGAGCTAACATTTGTCATACACTGTCCTTGGGAGAACTGAAAAAAAGTCACTTGAATCTTTCTGTGTTCTGGTTTGGCTGAGGAACCCTAGTTGAGAAAGACTTCAGTTGTAAACTAGAAGTCCCTGCTGGTTAAAACTCAGGAACAGTAACTTAAGTAACTGTGGGAAATGCTGCTACAATGGCATTGGAAAGTGCTATGTCAACAGGGAGGACAAAATAGCTCCATTTGTGATTCCGTCACTCACTGATGGGACAGTTCTCCCACTGCTTTTCTTTCTTTGAGCTTCTTTCCTGCTATCTGGCTGGAAGGAATAGCTTCTTGTGGACCCCTCTACTTCCATCTAAAAGCCTTTTCCCTTCCTCCTACTTTATTTCTAGTTTGATGCAGACTGGAATGGGGGCTAATTAATTTGGTTAAAAGTTCTGAGCCAGCCAAGGTGGCTCACATCTATATTCCCAACACTTCGGGAGGCTGAGGGGGATGGATTGCTTGAGCCCAGGAGTTCGAGACCAGCCTGGGAAACATGGCAAAACCCCATGTCCCCTAAAAAATGCAAAAGTTAGCTATGGGTGGTGGCATGTGCCTATAGTCTCAGCTACTTGGGAGGCTGAGGTGGGAGGATCACCTGAGTTCAGGAGGTGGAGGCTGCAGTGAGCCAAGATTGTGCTACTGCACTGCAGCCTGGGCAACAGAATGAGAAAAAAAAAAGTTCTGGGTTCAGGCTAGGCATGATGGTTCATGCCTATAATCCCAACACTTTGGGAGGCTGAGGCAGGAGGATCACTTGAGCCCAGGAGTTTGAGACCAGCTTCAGCAACACAGCAAGATCCTGTCTCCACCAAAAAAAAGAAAAAAATTAGCTGGGCATAATGGTGCACACCTGTAGTCCCAGCTACTTGAGAGGCTGAGACAGAAGGATGGCTTGAGCCCAAGAGTTTGAAGTTTTTGGTTCATAAGACTCTGAGGGATATTTAAGTATTTGGCTGCACTCAGAGTTGCTGTCAACTCATTCTCTGGATTTCAGATGAAAGAAAATAAAGTTCCTAGGAATTGACTTTAGCTGGCATATCTTAGAGCAGTATTTGGCAGCAGAAGCTCTGAGTTCCAAATCCTCTGCTTATTACCTGTGAAACTTTGGGCACATTATATAAACTTTCTGAACCTCAGTTTTTTCCATCTATAAAACAGATAACTTGTATTGACCTTCGAGGACTGCATGTGAAAACTGAAATAATTTAGGCCAGGCATGGTGGCTCGTGCCTGTAATCCCAGCACTTTGGGAGGGAAACCCCATCTCTACTCAAACAATACA